CTCGAACGGCCCCAATCTTTCCCCGCTGTTATTTCGTCAAAACAAAGCCGAGGGGGGGGGGCGGGGGGAGCGGGGGGGGTGGGGGGGGGGGGGGGGGGGGGGCGGGGCGGGCTGGTATTTCGCGCGCGCGTACCTTGATAAGCCGAGCAGACCGAAGTCAGCTATCTTCACCAGGCTATTGTCGCCGACGAGGATGTTTTCGTGCAGCGAGATCTCGGTGGATGTAATTCTGAGATTCGAGTAGGCCATCCCGGACGCGATCTGAGCGGACATTTCGATCAGGTCAGGCAGCTTCATGGTGTGACCTCTCGTTGCTGCAGTAAACACGGGCGGGATCAAATTACATCCACCCTCATTCATTTCTTAGTTATTAAACTTTTCTATTAATTTTACTTATTTCTAAATTATTATTAATTTATTATAATTATTATATAATATATATTTATTATTATTATATAACTCATTAATTTCGCCTATTTTATTTTTTAATAGCAGTGCGTACATTATTATTGCTCAAGTCCGAAGACTTGTTAGCACTGATGGGTTACGGGTTACAGCCTCTCTCATCGCTCACACATGAAGCCATACTCACACTGCATGGGTGGGTTAACGTTAGCACTGATGGGTTACGGGTTACAGCCTCTCTCATCGCTCACACATGAAGCCATACTCACACTGCATGGGTGGGTTAACGTTAGCACTGATGGGTTACGGGTTACAGCCTCTCTCATCGCTCACACATGAAGCCATACTCACACTGCATGGGTGGGTTAACGTTAGCACTGATGGGTTACGGGTTACAGCCTCTCTCATCGCTCACACATGAAGCCATCATACTCACACTGCATGGGTGGGTTAACGTTAGCACTGATGGGTTACGGGTTACAGCCTCTCTCATCGCTCACACATGAAGCCATACTCACACTGCATGGGTGGGTTAACGTTAGCACTGATGGGTTACGGGTTACAGCCTCTCTCATCACTCACACGTGAAGCCATACTCACACTGCAGGTACTCGAGGAGGCTGCCATACTTCATCAGCTCTGCGACGATGTAGATCGGCTCCTCCAGCGTGCACACGGCGTACAGCTGGATCAGCTTCGGATGCCACAGCTTCTTCATGATTTGCGCCTCGGCTAGGAAATCCTTCGGATCCATCGTGCCTGCGGCGAGTGAAGCGTTAGGATGGTCTTAGCGACGCATACTGGCAGTGCAACGTACGTGTGTTAGGGTGGTCGTAGCTACGCATGCCGGCAGTGCAACGTACGTGTGTTAGGGTGGTCGTAGCTACGCATGCCGGCAGTGCAACGTACGTGTGTTAGGACGGTCGTAGCTACGCACGCCGGCAGTGCAACTCGCAGAGTTCTGCCATCTAACCAGCAGAAAGGAAATATCATAACTGTTTTCTGCCACTGGTTGCTGACTTCGCTACGATCTATGAGTTTTTATTTTAGCGCAAGACTGCAGCAGTTGAAGTCTTCCGGTTCCAGTCCCCAGGACGTTAATTACACGTCACTTTGACAAACTGGGGGAACCAAGAGAACCTGGATTTTTCGGTTAAGTTTTTAGCATCTTTGGAAAATTAGGCATAGGATTTGCTGAGGACCCATAAAGATCGTGGGTGTAGGAGAAATTAGTGGAGGAGGGTAATCGTTTAGAGGAGCCACACAGTGCTACTTATGACTCCCTGATTTGTGTCTGGGTAACTAAGGGTATTTGATGGACAGTAAAATAAAAACACAAGCAAGTAGATATGCACAACAAAAACCACTCGTTTGAGGACACTTCTCTAAAACGACCAGTATTGTGAGCATAACAGCAACTACACCACTATATGCTCAAGAAAATGACCAAACAGAAGGAAAGAGTGGGGTTTGGCGTCACAGCCTGTGTGCTACCATACTTGACAGACATGGAGTAGGTCACAGGTAGAGAGCACCTGACAGACATGGGGTAGGTCACAGGTAGAGAGTACCTGACAGACATGGGGTAGGTACAGGTATGAGAAGTAACTGACAAGACATTGGGGTAGGGATCACAGGTAGCGCAGTACCTTGACAGGACATGGCGCCGTAGGTACACAGGTAGAGAGTACCTGACAGACATTGGCGGGGTAGTTCACAGCGTAGGCAGAGTACCTTGACAGACATGGGGTAGGCCACAGCCGTACAGAGAAGCAAAGACTGACAGACACGAGGTAGCGTCACACCGTAGAAGAGTACTGACAGACGGGTGTAGGTCTCAGGTACGAGAGACTGACAGACATGGGTATAGGTCACAGCGTAGAAGTACCTGACAGACATGGGGTAGGTCAACAGGTAGAGATACTGACAAGACATGGGTAACGGTACAGGAATACAGAGCGCTACTGCAAGACATGAGGTAGGTCACAGGTAGAGAGCTACCCTGACAGACATGGGCGTAGGTCACAGGTAGAGAGTACCTGACAGACACTGCGAGGTAGGTCACAGGTAGCAGAGCTAACTGACAGGACATGGGGTTAGGTCACAGGTAGAGAAGTATCCTGGACAGACAATGGCAGGTAGGCTCATCAGGTAGCAGAGTACCTGACAGACATGCGGCTGGGTAGCGTCACAGCGCTAGAGAGCGCACCTGACAGACATGGGTATGGTTCCTAGGTAGGAGAGTAACCTGACAGACATGGGGTATGGTCACAGGTAGAAGTACCTGACAGACATGGGGTAGCGTCACAGGTAGTAGAGCAGCACCTGGCAGACCATGGGTAGGTCACGGTACGAGAGTTACCTGACAGATCATGGGGTAGGTCACTGGTAGAGACTACCTGACAGCATTGGGCGGTACAGGTCACAAGCGTAGAGGTACCTGGCAGACATAGGGGCTGGGTAGGTCAACAGGTACAGAGACCTGACAGACATGGAGATAAGGTCACAGGTAGAGAGCTACCCTGACAGACATGGGGCGCGGTAGCGTCACAGCGTAGCAAGAGTACCTTGACAGACATGCGCGGTAGGTCACAGCCTGTGTGCTACCATACCTGACAGACATGGGGTAGGTCACAGGTAAAGTACCTGACAGACATGGGTTAGGTCACAGGTAGAGAGGAATCCCATACCGCACGACTCATGCGAGTAACAAATAATACCTGGCTTGAGAGTTTTGATTGCTACAGGAGTTGTGTTGTTCCACAGGCCTTCCCAGACCTCTCCAAACTGCCCCTGGCCAAGCTTGCGCACCATCTTCAGGGAACGTCGATCTATCTCCCACTGATCCCCTGTCTTGTGCGACAGTCCCCGCGGAACTGGGATGTCAATCTGTAGTGAAGAATCGTGCCAAACATAAACGTACGGTCAAAACACAAAAGATGTCGATCATCTCACAATACTTTCGCATGAAATGAAGGCGTTTTTCCTCAAACACGTGAATACGTAATACTACAGCATATATTGAGTGCCATCTTCACTCGCTAATGCTAGACATTTATTTTTTTGCCAGGCAGCCAACTAACCTACCCAGGTAAAAACTTGAGAAGCCCCTATCAGCTCTACTCCCTCCCTCCCCAACAGTACTGCCCTATTGCCTCTGTTTATAAAGGAGCTGGTTTGACCTTATAGCCCTGTTTCCCCCGATTTATTCATTGTAAATAATAATCACCCATGCTTAGCCCAAGCTGAACATCGCTTGCAGTATGGACGGTAGTTTAGGGTCAACGCGATTTGAGGAAAAACAACTCTGAACACCTGGCCATCGTTTGCATCGGAAATTTCTTGTAAGTTTGGTCACAGTAAGATCCAATTATTATGAATTTAATGGAAGAAAACTGACTATTGTAGACAGCAAAACTACTGCTTGCTGGCCTTAATTGTGAAACCGGACTCCCTACCCACAGCAGAAAGCATTCTGCCCTGCAAGGATGGCAGATAATTGTACGCAGATATTCACATGGGAGCATGCGATATGCGCATTGAAGGCTTGCCTTAGCTGACGGCTTGCTGAGAGTGACACACAAGCCATCTGCATCACACTTGTAGTGAGCTACTAGTTCTTGCAGGTCCGGAAAAGTGATTCTTCTCGCAATGAAGTACCCGCCCTCATCCAGCTGCCGTATTCGGTAGTGCTTGACCGTATCGCCATCTCTCACTATAAGACGTACCGGATAGTTGATTATTAAATATTGTATACTCGTTAAAACGACAATTAACATTGAAGCGAAACATGAGCATGTAAGGTGTGGTGACAAGCTAACTAACATTTCCTGACCTCAATGGCGAGTGAAATGATAAGAACAGTGAGACTCAACATATAACGTCAGAAATCTTACATGCAATTATTAAAAGTATTAACCTGATCCAGATAACACAAAAATAATGCATTCAGTTTAATTTTATTTTATATCTTTGGCCCTAAAACAGTAAAACACACAAAAATTAATCTATTAAGTATCTTATACGCGTTTGGTACCATGTGCAGAAATAATCCACACAGTGGTCAAGCATTTTGTACTCAACTAGAGAATATCGCCTCAATTGTTACCGTGTATTGTACTTCTTGGTAAGGCCATGCTTAAAAAATTCTATGTTTGCTGTCCCCCGACCCATGATTTTTTTAGTGGGTAGGTAGGTAGGTAGGTAGGTCTCTTTTTTTGTGTGAGGCATAATAGTTATTTTAAGTCTGTCCTCATGTTTGCCACACATGCTTTGTGTTTCAGTCTTAACTATGAAAAATGAAAAAAAATAAAATAAAAATATGGAACCCAAAATGTAAAAAAAAACTTTTGGGTCGCAGCTATTTTCGTGGGTCGGTCAGCAAACAAATAATTTTTTAAGGATGGCCCAACCTGACACAGTGGTTACCATACACATGTAGGGCGTTTGCCTAAAAACACGATTAAACTGGTACCTGAGAGTGAGAAATCGTTGTGCCTGCTTTCGCTATCCCTTATCAAAAAAGCTCTGTGCTCGTTTGGGGCCATCAATAGCCGCTTCTCTGCCTCTGCTCTCTTGATCTTCCCAAAGTACCATCTAGTTGGAAACACAAACTATCATGAAGCGATTTCGTCTTGAATCTATCCCATTTTGTAAAAAAACACCTGTTATTCTTATTCAACAGATTTCAAGATGTAAGAAAATCTCATTTCAACCCATAGCAATACTCCCAAGAGTCCCAAAAATAAAAAAGTCCTTTAAGCAACACTTGGGCCAAAACAAATTATATGTGTGGTTACCGTTACATGACGAAAAAAAATAGGGTAGGTAGGTAGGGAAAACATTTTATTTTCTTGAAATATTTTATTTACGAACCATGTCCGAAGGATGTGCGTTGTGCCTTTTGAAGCAGGAACTAAAAAAATTTAAATTAAAGAAAAATAATTTTTTTAAACTGAATAAAATGTTTAGGGTTGCTGGGAATAAATAGGGTCGGTCGGGAAACCGTAACCACACCTATATTTTGTTTTGGCCTTATTACAATAGCAACATAAGCAGTACAGCAATATAACTGTGGGCGGTGGGTTTACCCTATGTAAGCATGCTAATACTGAATGCCATGTACTTTAACATTACTGTACTGGTTACACAAACAGAGACTAATATCTCACTATAACAACTGTCTCACTCTAGTAAAAGCTACTGTCTCCAGCAAGTAGCACTCACAGTAAGACCAAACTCTAAGAAATCATTGTCATAATATTAAACCTGAACATCACCATGTAAGAAATTTGAAAATATTTAGTTTCACATATGATAAACAGCTATTAACATGTGTAGGTAGGGTGACAGAGTACAGAAATATGCATGCCAATGTCATTACTCTTTACACGTGGGAGTTCCGGCTAGGAACGCCCGACATGTAGCCTATCGTACGATGGTACTATCAGCCTACACAATGTACAGAGCATGAGTATGCAGTATGTTCTGTATACACACAGACTTGCTGACCTTTGAGACAGTAAATCAGACTGCCGAAAACACGCATAATAGTCAGGTGGCTTAAGTCCAGATTAGGGAAGGATAGCGACATTCCACATAATAACCTGTCTATAAGAGTTAAGATATACAACAATCACTTGCAGCAGGCTCTATGGTTGATATTATATGTCAAAACATATTTTATCATGCTAAAAAGAAGAAGAATAAAAATGAAAAGAAAAGGCCAACAATATTTTACATGGTCTAGAAATTGTAAAGAGAATGTGTGTGCGTGTGTGCGGTGCGTATTATGTGTGTGTGTGTGTGTGTGTGTGTGCGTGCGTGCAGTGTGTGTTGTGTGTGTGTGTCGTGTGTGTGTCTGTGTGCGTGTTACTGCATGTCAGTGTGTGAGCATACGTGCGTGCGTGTGTGTAAATGCGTGCGTCCGTGTGTGAGCGTGTGTTAGTGAGTGAGCATGCTGTGTGTGGTGTATGTGTGGCGTGTGCGTGTGTGCGTGCCTGCGTGTGCGTGTGCGTGTGTGTCTATGTCCATGTGTGCGTGCATGACTGTGTACGTTTGTCAGTCTGCGCACGAGTACGCGCTTGCATGCAAATGCTTGCATGTGATTGAATTACATTAAATCAAAGTACAATATAATAATTAAATCAACTAGGTACATAACAGTAATCCTCACAGTGCTAGTATACTCACGACTCAGCTTCAATGCTTTTTAGTTTGGCAATGTAGTTGGATGGAATATATCCTTCTCTCTTACTTGCTTTCGACCTAGCTAACCACCAGTCACCCTGAAATTTACACAAATGCAGAGAAGATAACACTAAGTATATAAACAGTAACGAGAAATGATAAATCAGCTGCATGTGACAGCATGTTTACATATAGTTCTGATCAGCAGAGTGCGTAAACAATGACGGGTGCTCTCGGCATATTGCAAATGTTCAGACCCTTGACTTCTGTGTATCACAGTATGCGATTCATAATTGCATATTTCCGGGTATTTGCTATTAAACTTAAAGATACAACTACAAGTGTATTGCTCCAACATGCAGATGGGCTAGTATTAGTGTTATGATACAGTGCAGTTCGGGAAACATTATTTATGATTAACTGAGATCTTTTAATCGTATTCGCATCCCATGCCAGTTGGCTCCACCCAATGACTACTTCATAATAGTTTCAATCGTTGAAACGAGAACATGGCGAATTCCCACTAAACTTATACTGCGTATTTACTAGTTACCTGTGTATCATCAAGGACTTCCAGGTGATCTCCTTTCTGGAATCCCAGATCTTCATCTGTTCTCGCCTCGTAATCGTACAGTGCAACGAAAACCGTGATGCCAGCTCCCGACCTTACGCTCTCCTGTGCGATGCCACCCCCGCGTACGTCTTGCGGGCGGGTCACCGACGAGGTAAAGATACCTGGTAAAGCTCGCTGGTTACTTGGAACAAAGTTTGAAGTGCCGGCAAGATACGAGAACGGTTGTGCGGCACTAGCCGCAGAACCCGTTGTGGTTACGTGCGTGACGCTAGCAGAAGACGCCGTCTTTCCCACATACTTGTCTCTCCTGTCTTTGGTTTTACTAAAACAACAACCCATGCCGACGGGGATGAAACACTTCTTACTCTCACATACACATAGCCGATCGTCTGGTTAGAAATATATAAATAATCGGTTGGTTTTGTAAGAAATTTCGCATAAACCCTCCCATTTCGATATTCTGATATTGACACGACGCCCAGCAACACCCGGAACTGTCTAAATGCACCGCAAAGTAGTAACACAGTACATATTTATTTGTTGTAACTTGACATATTATTACTAAACAATTCAATACACAAACGTTAGCACGATGTAGATACGTCTTATAAAACCAGTGATTTTATACGCTAGGCAATAAATAATTGGAATTATTGATGACCACAGCTTCCGGTGTGCGGATTTATTTCACAACTGTTAAATTAACATAGACTGGCTACTCATCGCTTCGCTTTGTATTATATAGCGAGAGATTCAAAGTAGTCTATTGGCAAGAGGACCAGTCTAATATCAGCAGAGCCGGCGAGACCAGCAGCCGGCTGAAAGGTGCGATAGGATATGTTTACTAGGCACTTCTAATTTTAACATATATTTTAAATTTAATTATGGTTAGGGTTAGGGTTAGGCTTAGGGTTAGGGTTAGGGTTAGGGTCATTTTTAGGGTTTTTGCATCATTCTTTAATATATCGTAAAATATATGTTAAAATTAGAAGTGCCTAGTAAACATATCCTATCGCACCTTTCAGCCGGCTGCGCGAGACCACTGAAGGCACTATATGTAAGTCTGAGAATATTATACAAATGATAAATACAATATAGATACAATATTATTATACAATGTATATCTGTTCTCAGTATGTACTATCGTAAGAACATAATTATATTAGATATTTATATTATTTTTTACATTAATGATATATATGTTATATATATGTATTCAAGAGCGTATTAAGAAGGACCTTCTTTATTCGCTCTTGATGTATTGGATAAATAAATAAATAAATAAATATTTATTTATCCAATATATATAACATATATATAATAATATATATAATATATATATATATATATATATATAATATATATATATATATATATAGTAAAATCACACACGAACACCCATGCAGATAAAAAAAAATTAAGAAAATAGGTAAAGGGTATTTAATTTTAATCAGCGAGCTTTCGAGACGTACGTACATTACGTACATCTCTTCCTCGGGCTTGCAGCCTGAAATTATTACTATTATTATTATTATTATTATTATTATTATTATTTCTAATATGGATCACGGCATTAGCCGGTGGCTTCTGGGTTGACCGTGTCCTAACCTGGGACATAGTGATTAAATACCGAATTTTGCGCATTATATGTGCTGTTCCCAGTATTGCGATTTTTTGCACTTCTTGGGCAATGTGGTGGCTCTGGGTGGTGGCCATGGAGTTCCTTGAGGTTCTTCTCAAGACCATTCTTTATAGAGCCAAGGGCTCCAACCACCACTGGCACAACTCTCGTCTTAGTGTTCCACATCCTGCTAATCTCGATCTCCAGATCTTTGTGAAATGAAGAATGATCCTTCCTGTAACACACCGCTGGGTGAGGCCGGAGGTGAGTTCCGGCAGCCCGATATTGAAAAGCTGAACGCGATGTACTGCTCGTAAGAAGACACTCACGCCTACATATACCCGGTATTATAGTGCAAGCGTTATAATCCTCATTATTTGATTGCATTTGGAAGAAATCTCTTCTAAACGTTAATATGATTCAATTGTTGATTTTGATGGTCTCCTGTGTATTGTGAATCAAATGGTGACGATATATCGAATAAAAATTATTACTGTATCAACAAATGATTTCTTTTGTTAAACCTTACTTTTTCCGAAACCTCACTTGATGAGCTATATACCAGAATGAGCAACCATCAACAAACATGCGCAAATGCAATAAAATATCTGCTTTATAATTGTGAGGCTATAAATAACTGAGGGGTTGTCATCTAAGTGGCAGCACGTTCGCATACAAAATCACGCAGACGGAAGTACATGAACTAATTGGCGATGGAGGATGGGGTGGGAAAGTGAACCATAGATATCACTATCATATTAATATCCTAATTGTTTGGTTCGTAGCATTTTAGATTCAACTAATCTGGTTAAATATGAGTTCACAGCAGAACTCAATCACCATGAAATTAAGTGCGCGTCTCCAGATAACACATTTTTAAATATAAGATGTCTGGAGCCTTCTCCAACCATGTGCCATGATGTCGTGGTCTGAAGAGAATAGATGAAGCCTACTTTTTGGCGCAAAAACACACGAGTCGCGCGTTTTTGCCATTCTCCGTGAATGTTTCAACCGAAATATTTATCAAAGAATATTTGTGTTGAAGAAGATTTACGTCGTCCATTGCAATGATGTTTTCAGAGGGAGTATTATAATTTCAATTCGATTACGGGAAGCTTCTAATATAAAACAGTATAAACTGCTGCCAATGGAAATGAATTGTCACGTTTAAATTAATTATCGCTGTAAGTATTAATTCGTGCGTTGTCGTCTATATGTAAGACAGAATGTTTACCTTTCAACCTAGCAACCAGGAAGCACACACCGAGAGACTAACCATCTCGTAGCAGCCTCTTACTTCTAGTGAATGTGTAAAGCGTTCTCATGCTACGGTTACGTTACGCGGAACTGTGTTTGAACAGATGCACACGCATGCAGCTATCCTGCAGAAGGCGTTCGCTATTCGATAAGGCTGCGGGCTCCTCCCCAGACCTAGACACGTCGAATCTATATGATGAGAAGCTGCGGTCTTGACAGCGACGCAGGTACTTCCGCTGGCAACGAATCGCTTTGGTTATCTGACACTTTAGTGACGGCTGTGTGCGGCTATTGTTTCTCGGGTTTAATATGCCTCCAGAATTTTATCTCAATTTTATTCCTGGTGGCTTTTGTGGAGTCATCGTATGTCACGCACGGTCTCACGTAACTCGACTCTACAGCCCTTCACTACGCTATAGAGATAATGGTAGCGGGGTAACAAAGGGCTAAGGGAGGAGCTAGGTCTAACACAGATTAACCCTGTCATCCTTTATGATCAAATCGTATGCCTGAACCTGGCGCGATTCGTTCGACACTAAATTTTCAAAACAGATCCTTCTTTTTAATTTTAGAAGTGATTGAGATTTTTTAGCATATTGTTTGCCGCTGGAACCAGTGACGGTTACCAGGAAATATTAATATTTATCCATCCACGGCCCAGCGGTTCCCCTAATGATTTGAGGAGTACCATGCATCTATGCATATATTGCGAGACATTCGAATGATGAGTATGCATTCCCTTGAACGTCAGCTCAATAACTCAGTTTTTAGAAAAACCGCGATCACATGACACTACACTACAGCCTAGTATCCCCCAGTCCTCGAATCCATTCCAACCCTACCTAGCGCTATGTATTATAAAAACAATATACAACATATTACAAAAATCACTTGCTGCTAATTGTAAATTTATTCAATATATTGACACCATTAATTTCTCCAAAAAACTTACGAGGGCATAAAGATCGACAGATGATTTAAATAGACTGGATTAATAATATTATTAAAATGTAATAATCTTAGAGATTAATTACCAAGATTTTACGAAGGAATTGTCGCGAATGTGGGTTATTTAACGAAGATTATTACAATACTCTTCTGAGTCAGTATAACAGTGATTGTGGGAATGTCAAATCAGAAATGTCAATGCAAATTTATTCAATATATTGACACGATTAATTTCACCAAAAAACTTACGAGGGCATAACGATCGACAGATGATTTAAATAGACTGGATTGATTATTAAAATGTAATAATCTTAGAGATTAATTACCAAGATATTACGAAGGAATTGTCGCGAATGTGGATTATTTAACGAAGATTATTACAATACTCTTCTGAGTCAGTATATATATATAACAGTGATTGTGGGAATGTCAAATCGGCGTCCAGCATGTTATTACTAACAGTTGTACATAGAGTTCAGCTTGTCAATGTCGGACTGCCTGAAACCACCGCCTACGAAAGGCTGTCCCAGTGGTGTGTTACAGGAAGGATCACTCTTGGCGGTGATGGTCGGTTCGTTGTTCTTAGAGAAGGAGTAGCAGTCGTAATGCATGATCGAGTACAAGTCGTAGTACCCATACAGGTCGATCACAGTTTCATCGTATTTGTCAAAGTTATACGCTGTACCTATAAACAAATAAACAAACCGATAGAATAAGTTATTATTTAACGAAGATTATTACAATACTCTTCTGAGTCAGTATAACAGTGATTGTGGGAATGTCAAATCGGAAATGTCAATGTAAATTTATTCAATATATTGACACGATTAATTTCACCAAAAAACTTACGAGGGCATAAAGATCGACAGATGATTTAAATAGACTGGATTGATTATTAAAATGTAATAATCTTAGAGATTAATTACCAAGATATTACGAAGGAATTGTCGCGAATGTGGATTATTTAACGAAGATTATTACAATACTCTTCTGAGTCAGTATAACAGTGATTGTGGGAATGTCAAATCGGCCCTTCGTAATATATTGGTAATTAATCTCTAAGATTATTACATTTTAATAATTAATCCAGTCTATTTAAATCATCTGGTGAAATTAATGGTGTCAATGTATTGAATAAATTTACAATTAGCAGCAAGTGATTTTTGTAATATGTTGTATATTGTTTTTACAATACATAGCGCTAGGTAGGGTTAGAATGGATTCGAGGACTGGGGGATACTAGGCTGTAGTGTAGTGTCATGTGATCGCGGTTTTTCTAAAAAAGGAGTTATTGAGCCGACGTTCAAGGGAATGCATACTCATCATTCGAATGTCTTACAATATATGCATAGATGCATCGTACTCCTCAAACCATTAGGGGAACCGCTGGGCCGTGGATGGATAAATATTAATATTT